ACAATATCTAAATGTAAAGCATAAAACTATAAACATTCAGAAGAAAGCATAGGCAAAGTGTTTGTTTGTAGATATGATGCCAGGAATACACTCCATTAAACATTAATAAATTAGACTTCACTGAAATTTAAAACATTTACTCTACAAAGGCAATACTAGGAGAATGAGAAGACAAACTACAGCCTGGGAGAAAATATATATAAATCACATTTACAACAAAAGGCTTGCATTCAGGGCTGGGGAAGTGGTAGAGGAAGTGGTAGAGAGATTGCCTAGAATGTCCTAGGCCCTCTTTTCCATCCCCCAGCACCGCCAACAGAAGAAGAAGAAGAAGAAAAAAGACTTCTTTGAGAATTCTCAAAATTCAATAGTAAGAAACACATGAACCAATTTTTAAAAGAGCAAAGGCCTTGAACAGAAGACTTCACTAAAAAAGATATTCAAATGGCAAAATAAATACATTAAAAGATTTTTAATATTATTAGCTACTGGGAAAATGCAAATTAAAGCCATCATGAGTTCCCACTATCTGCATTTTAGAATTGCTAAAAACTAAACTAAACTAATAATACCATTATGTTCTGGTTGGTGGGACTGCAAAATGGTAGAGCCACTCTGGAGAACAATTTGGAAGTTTCATACAAGTTAAACGTACATCTAGAAATCCCATTTCTGGGTATTTACTTAAGAAATAAAAATGTACACTCCCTCAAAAACCTGTGCAAGAATGTTTATGGTGGCTCTGCTCATAATATCAAAAAGAAGTGGATATGATTCAAGTGTACTTTGGCAAGTAAATAGATAAAAAAACAACAACTATGAAGCGTCATATTTCATATTGTGGAATACTACTCAGCAACAGGGATTAAGCTACTGATTTCTGCAACAATATAGTTGAATGTCAAAAACATCATGCTAAGTGCAAGCCATATGCAAAATAGTATATACTATATTATTCCATTTGGAATTTATTCCAATAAGAGTACCTACTATATAATTTATTTGAAATTCCAGAAAAAGCAAAACTCATTTATAATGACAAAAACCAGATCAGTGATTGGGTAGATATTGTTTGGAAAATGGCAGGAGGGAGCTCTTTGGAAACATGAAGATGTTACATATCTTGATTGTGGTTGTGGATATGTGTGGATATACATTTGTTAAAACTCAAAGTTGAAAATGTTCACATCTTATGACCTAGCCAGCTGACTTTTAGGTAAAGTTCAATGTTCATCAAACCACTGTTAGAGACCCATGATTTGAGAATTACCAACTCAATTCAGTGTGTCTGAACTACAATCTTTGAACCCACAGTTCCTCAAAATTCCTTTTCACTATTTAAATGGTATAATCTATGTTAAAGGAGATTGAGTTTATATTTTTAAATATTAATAACTTTTAAATCACTAACATACAGAAGTATTTTGTTAAAAATAATAAAACAGTGGTGCACACCTTTAATCCCAGAGGCTCTGGAGGCTGAAGCAGGAGAATCGCTTGTTGAAAGCCCACCTCAGCAATGGCAAGGCACTAAGCAATGCAGTGAGAACCTGTTTCTAAATAAAATACAAAATAAAATACAAAATAGGGCTGGGGATGTGGCTCAGTGGTTGAGTTCAATTCCTGGTACCAAAATAAACAAACAAATAAATAAGTAAACAAACAAAACAATACCAATTGTGAATAAAATACCCACAAAGAGGCTGGGGTTGTAGCTCAGTGGTAGAGCACTTTCCTAGCATGTGTGAGGTATTGGGTTCAATTTCCGACACCACATAATAATAAATAAATAAAACAAAGGTCCATCAACAACTAAAAAAAAAAAAAAATCCCACAGGAATATTAAGCTTGAAAGTAATGAGACTAAAGCTTCATGCCCCTCTCTTCTGAAACCTGGTTACTAATTTTGTATTAAGAATTTGTATATTTTTTCTTTCTTTCTTTTTTTTATTTACAAAGGAGGCCTGTATTTATTAACTCTAGACTAGATTTTTTTTAACAAAATGGAATAGAAAATGTTTTTTTTTTAACTTTTTGTTTCAGTTTTTATAATGGGTCAGTATAAGAAAATATTTCCTATCAGGGTTTATATTTAAACACCCCACACTCCACACACACATTAGAAATTCAGTGGAGTGTAGAAACTCATGCACATGTACCCAAGTATGTATGTGTGACTATGTATTTATATATATATATATATATATATATATATATACACACACAC